TGTTCCATGACCAGGCCTAAAGCCAGACTGTGAAGGATCAAGATAATCAGTTTCATCCAAGAAGCCTCCACTTGCTCTAGAACCTTGCCCAAAAAAAGGGAAATTTTAAATGGGCTTAGGTCCAGACTTTATAGTGGGGAAAAGACAAGTGGAATGAACTCCTATTAATTCTCCTGGTCCTCTTGGTGATAGTCAACTGAGTGATGCTGACATCTGCATGGATCTCTTCAGTCTACAACAGTGGTTCTCAACCTGTGAGTTCCCAGTTGTTTTGGCTTACAACTCCCAGAAATCCCAGCCAATTTACCAGCTGTTAGGATTTCCGAGACTTGAAGGCCAAAAAATCTGGGGACACACCAGTTGAGAACCACTAGACTACAATCTGATAGCCTTAAAGAGTAAGTGAATATGCTGTACAGCCTGAGCTTATGTGACGCAGTGAATTATATCTCCTATGGAAGCTCACAGGGGATGTATTCATCTTTTTAAAGGTACCATCAGATTCAGTAATTCCACATGAATCTAGGTGGCATGCTTCGAAGTTGTCTGGAAGTCATTACTGATTAAGTAGCATGTTATGCGAAAGTGTGCATGTGAGGCAGAGCCTTCCTGTCTCCCTTCAGGCCCGTGTATCTCTCAGGTAATTGGTTGAGTAGTGTAGTCTCAGCAGCCTGCACATGACAAGGAATAAGATACCAAACCCAAGACTGCCTGGAGGCTGGGCATCCTATCTCTGAGAGAAGAGAGTCCACATTTAATGTGGCAAACATAAGCACACGTATGAACAGTAAAATAACTAGGCACATTAGCCCATTGCTAATGAAAAATCAGACACCTGGGGCAAGCCTAGTGACAAAGGCAGCTTCTCTTCTTGGTCCCCTGTCCTGCTGTAGCTCACTTTAACACTACGTATAAAAATTGGAAAAAATATGTTTCTAGTTTGAAAGTGTTACTTCCTGTTTAATTGTGCAGTACTTTACTTACTTTGAAAGTTGTTGTTATACTCCAGAAATTTCTTTTTTTTGTGGCTTCCACAAGCTATGTTGAATTAGCCCAGTTCTGGGTGCCACAATTGAAGGGAGATGTTGACAAGTTAGAATGTGTCCAGAGGAGGGCGACTACAATGATCAAGGGTCTAGAGAACAAGCCCTATGAGGAGTGGCTTAAAGAGCTGGACATATTTAGTCTGCAGAAAAGAAGGCTGAGAGGAGGCATGATGAGGGCCATGTATAAATATGTGAGGGGAAGTCATAGGGAGGAGGGAGTAAGCTTGTTTTCTGCTGCCCTGGAGACCAGGACTTGGAACAATGGCTTCAAATTGCATGAAAGAAGATTCCACCTGAACATTAGGAAGAACTTCCTGACTGTGGGAGCTGTTCAGCAGTGGAAATCTCTGTCCCAGAGTGTGGTGGAGGCTCCTTCTTTGGAGGATTTTAAGCAGAGACTGGATGGCCATCTTTGAATGTGATTTTCCTGCTTCTTGGCAGGGGGTTGGACCGGATGGCCCATGAGGTCTCTTCCAACTCTATGATTCTATGCTTCTATGGTTGAGACTCGATGAGATATCCATTGAAAAAAAAACTGTAGCAAAATGTGCTGCAGGGTGTCCTGCAAAAACAAACGTTTCTGCAGTTTAATAAACCTTTCCCATGTTTTTATGAGAGAACAAATTAGGAAATGACATTTATAACTCAAGAACATAGTGTAATGGCTATTTGGGGGGGGGGGGCAGGCCCGTAGCCAGGATTTTGTTTCAGGGGGTGCGTTTCGATGGGGGGGGGGCTGAGTCTGAGTGAAAGAGAGTCTACCCTAGCAAACCTTTTGTATCATTACCCCAATACCCCCATGCATATGGGATATATTGAGTATGGTGATCAGATCATGATATGAATAAACATACAGTTTAAATAATGCACCAGTAAGGCCTTCTCGCGGACCACCATCAGAATTTCGGGGGGGGGGGCTGAAGCCCCCCAAGCCCTTCCCCTAGCTACATGCCTGGGGGGGGGTTGAAAGGCACTCTTCACATGCCCATGAGCTACCCGTCAGCTTCCAGAATAGAAGCCATGCCCCAAACACATAACTTAAAACCTCCAGACCATAACATTCCAGTTCCAAATCTTCAGAAGCTGTGGGTAAAGAGGAGAGTTAATGCAGTTCGATGCCTCTTGAACTGCCCTGGCTGAATGCTATGGAATCCTGGGTGTTGCAGTTTTCCAAGACCTCTGATTCCAAAGAGTGCTGGGGCCTGACAAAACGACGACTCCTAGGCTTCCCTAACATTGAGCCATGGCACTTGAAGCGGTGTAGAACTGCCTCCCTTCAACAGAAGGGACTCTGGGACTCTCCCCTCAACCGGGACTCCCGGTATGACTGGGAAGACCCCGTCTTCGTGGGGAGGGGCACGGGCAAAGCCCCCCCCCCGCCTCCCCCAAAGGCTTAGGCGAGCCGCCTTGGAAAGTCCCCGCCTCAGAGCGGGGCGGGGTGGTTTCCCTTTCGCCAGTGGGCAACCAAGCCAGCCAAACAGAGAGAGAGGAGGTAACTCTTCTCCTGCTCGCCCCAACAGCCCGAGGCCAAACCCTCCGCCTGTCGGGAAGATACGAGGGTGCCTCCACACCAGGCATGGGCACACTTTCTCACTTGGGGCCGCACGCTAGAGCACTCCCTGCTAGGAAGGAAGGAAGGAAGGAAGGGAGGGAGGGAGAGGGAGGGAGGGAGGGAGGGAGGGAGGGGAGAGGGAAGGAAGGAAGGAAGAAGGAAGGAGGAAGGAAGGAAGAAGGAAGAAGGAAGAAGGAAGGAAGAAGGAAGGAAAGGGAGGAAGAAAGGGAGGAAGGAGAAAGGGAGGAAGGAGGAAGGAAGGAAAGAGGAGGGAAAAGGAAGGAAGAAAAAGGAAGAAGGAAAGAAGGAAGAGAAAAAGGAAAAAGAAGAGAAAGGAAGAAGGAAGGGAGGAAGAGAGAGGAAGGGAAGGAAGAAGGAAGTGGAAGGAGGAAGGAAGGAAGAAGGAAGGAAGGAAGAGGAAAGGAAAGATAAAGGAAGGAGAGAAGAAGGAAAGACAAAAGGGAAAGATGGAAGGAAGGAGAAAGAGGGATGGACGGGAGGGAGATAAGGAGGAAGGAAAGACAAAAGGAAGGAAGGAGGGAATGACTAAAGAGTGGGAAGGGAGGGAGGGAAGGAGAAAAGAGAAGGAAAAGGGACAAAAGGGTGGAAGGGAATGGAGGGAGGGAGGGAGGGAGAAAGGGGGAGGGGAGGGAGGAAACAGAGAAGGAAAGGAAAGGATTAGGATTAGGATAGGATAGGATAGGATAGGACAAGATAAGATAAGATAAGATAAGATAGGATGATGAGAGGAGGGCCTGAGAAAAGAGCTCAAGGGGCCGCATCCGGGGGTCCGGGTTTATCCATACCTGCTCTACACTGTAGAATGAATGCAGTTTGCTCCATGCCATATGAGTCTACACTGCCAGATAATCTAGTATAAACAGATAATCTAGGATCAGATCCTGGGATACAGAGCAGCCTTTGTGAAACCTCAGCTCAATGTTTCCACAGCATTTGAGCCATGGCAGTTCAAGCGGTGTCAAAGTGCCTTCAGTGTAGTGGACAGAAGTGTCTAATTTAGGCATCTTGTGTGCAAGGGTTCATTTCTCTGCTCCCTTCTACATTGCCATATAAAATCCATATGATCTGCTTTGAACTGTATTATATGGCAGTGTAGGTTCTTATAACCCAGTCCAAAGCCGATAATGTAGAGTGTGGTGAAAGCTCCTTCTGCCTCTGAGCCTGGTGGAAGCGCCTTCCTTGGAGGCTTTGCAACAGAGGCTGAATGGCCATCTGTCGGGGTGCTTTGTGCTTTTCTTGCATGACAGGGGGCTGGACTAGATGGCCCATGTGGTCTCTTCCATCTGTATGATTCTATGATTCCATTATTCTATGCTAATCTGGATGGGCCTCCTAGTAGTTCAGCGGGTTAAACCTCTGAGCTACTGAACTTACTAACAGACAGGTCCGCGGTTTGAATCCTGGGAGCGGGGTGAGTTCCTGCTGTTAGGCTTCTGCCAACCTTGCAGTTTGAAAACAAGTGTGAGTAAATCAATAGGTACCGCTCTGGTGGGAAGGTAACTGGTGCTCCATCCACATGACCTTGGAGGCGTCTGTGGACAACGCCGGCTCTTCGACTTAGAAATGGAGATGAGCACCAACCCCCCAGAGTCAGAGACGACTAAATTTAATGTCAGGGGAAACCTTTACATTTATTTTTACTATAATAGTCATGCCGGACACATGACCTTGGAGGTGTCTGCGGACAGCGCCGGCTCTTTGGCTTAGAAATGGAGATGAGCACCAACCCCCCAGAGTCAGACACGATCAAATTTGATGTCAGGGGAAACCTTTACATTTACTGTAATAATCTGGATTTTGTAGGACAGCGCGGAAGGGGCCCGAGTTGCGCCTGTCTCTTCCTTCGGTCGTCTTTCGTGGGCCCGCGGGGTTCTTTTTCGGGGCATTTTGGGGGGCTGGAGCCTGCGCTGGTTGGATCTACGCTGCCCTATAATGCCGTTTTGCACCATGGGATCCTTCACTAGTCATGCAATGCTGCTCAAACGGCATGAGAGGGGTAGCATCGTGTGGTCTTCTTCCCTGATGCGAGGCGGCCCCTCTCCTCCCAGCGAGGAAGGAGAGCTAGGCTGCCCACGCGTGGGGATGTCCAAGGAGGCTGGCCCAGCGGGGATGGAGGAGAAGGTGGGGAGGGCGTGGGGAGGGCGTGGGGGCTCCCGGGAGCGATGGCGAGGCGCCTGGCGCTGCCGCCCGTGGGACCCGCGGCGAGAGAGAGAGAGAGAGAGAGAGCGAGAGAGCGCGCGTCCCCGCCCGTGGGTGTGGGCACTGGGGCCGCACCCGAAGGGAAGAACAGCTGCTGCTTCCCGGCTCCCGCTGCCCCCGGACGGGGAGGAGAGGGGAGCTGCCTCGCCCAGAGAGAGAGACAGAGACAGAGAGAGAGAGAGAGAGAGGCAGGGAGAAGAGGAGAGAGGAAGAGACGGGCAGCAGGTAGAAGGCCAGCCGGAGCGTCGTGGCGGCCCCCCACGGTAAGGGAAGCTTTCCCTGCGGAGGTGGGGGTTCTGGGAGGGCCTGTCCACCAGGAACTCCTCTCTGGAGGGGGCTTGGCGAAGGGAAGCAGAAAGGGGAGACCTTGAGCTCATAGGGAGAGAAGCGCAAGGATGCCTTCTCCTCCTGACCCTTCCCTCCCACCCAAGGCCGCGCTGTCCAACGGGATTTCCACTGTCCTACCTCAATGCTAGGGAATCCCAGGAGTTGCACGCCAAACTACACATCCTAACTCTCTATCCTCATAGATTCAGAGCGTTTTTCGATAGTTTTGTGGTGGAAACAGGGGGCGACTCCGCTTCCGCGCCTGAATTGAATCCTTTTTGTTGCTCAAGTTTGGGTTTGTTCCCTTTCTTTGCTATGAGAACGAATAGGAAGTTCAAGGGGGAGATGTCCTGAAGTGGGTCCAGCTTCACCAACGTCGCCCTTGGATGAGTGTGGAATGGATGTCTCTGGGCAGCACTCTCCCTGCCCTGGCCCAATGCTGGGCAGCGAGGGGAAGGGCCCCGTTGGAAGATCTTCAGCTTTCTCTGTCAAAAAGTGCCCAGTCCACAGGACTCCCTAGCACTGAGCCATGGCAGTTAAAGGGGTGTCAGACTGTATTGATTCTGATCTCACGTGTGTATATCTATATACTTATATAGGTAAAGGTAAAAGTTTCCCCTTGACATTAAGTCTAGTCGAGTCCGACTCTGGAGAGTGGTGCTCATCTCCATTTCTAAGCCGAAGAGCCGGAGTTGTCCGTAGACTCCTCCAAGGTCATGTGGCCAGCATGACTGCATGGAGCACCCTTACCTTCCCACCTATTTATCTACTCACATTTGCATGTTTTCGAACTGCTAGGTTGGCTGAAACTGGGGCTAACAGCGGGAGCTCACCCGGATTCGAATCACCGACATTTGGGTCAGCAAGTTCAGCAGGGCTTTTGGGTGAAGTTTGCCCTAGAGTCAGGGAAAGTTGACTTCAACACCTTTCTCCCAGGATTGCCAGGATGAAAACTAGGGAGGATTCCAGTCCATTGAATGGTTGCATATACTGTTTTCATGTTGGACTCCAGAGCAGGGCTGGAACCTGCACTTGACCACTCTGCCCCAGAAAGAGGCATGGTTAAAGCCTCTTTGTACAAAGAGGCTAGGCAGCCATCTGTCAGGGGTGCTTTGATTGTGTTTTTCTGCAAGCAAGGGGTTGGACTGGATGGCCCTTAGGGGTATCTTCCAACACTTAGGATTCTATTATTTGAAATATTGGGTTGCTGTGAATTTTCCAGGCTGTATGGCCATATTCCAGAAGCATACTCTCCTGACGTTTCACCCACATTTATAACGGGCATCCTCAGAGGTTCCTTCAGCCAAGAAGCAGTCAGGCTTTGAAGCTGTAAGGCCATTCAATGCTAATCAAGGTGGCCAATTGCAACAATCACACTTGCCTCCAGCAGACAAGAGTTCTTTCTCTCACCCTGGACATTATTTCACAGATATATAAACCTCACTTGCCTAATTTCCAACAGACCTCACAACCTCTGAGGATGCCTGCCATGGATGCAGGTGAAGGATCAGGAGAGAATGCTTCTGGAACACAGCAACCCAGTGATTCTGGTCATAAAAGCCTTCAACAACACACTCTAAAGGTTGTGCAAAACATATCCCTCCTCTAGGGTCATCCATAAAGTTGGAAAGGGCTTGAAAGCAAACAACAACAACAACAGGAAGAGTATGGCTTACTCCCTGGCACAACTATTAAAGGGTCAGGAACCATTCCTAGTTTTCACTCTGCCAAACCTCTCCATCCTTTCAGAAGCATTGCTGAAAGATCTACACTACACTTTCAGTAGCATTGCTGAAAGATTTACACTGCTGTAGTGTAGTTTCAGAGTGCAGTTTAACTGCATTGAACAGCATTATGTGGCAGTGTGGACTCAAATGATCCAGTTCAATGTAGAAAGTGCATTCTGAAACTGCATTATATGACAGTGGGGCCTCAGACAGAGGAAGAGGAGTAGAAGGAGACCTCTCTGTCTCAATTACTCATGTTTTATTTTCATGTCTCCCCCCAGAGCTTTCACCCCCATGCCTCCCTGGCCAGGACATGAAGAGGAGAGGGTTCTCCAACAGCCAGACTAGAGGACATCTGGGAGTTTTAGTGCTCAGCATGGCTACCAGGAGCTTCCGGGTGAATACCTGCCTCTTTGCTGCTTGTCTCTGTCTCTGGAGAGGGTAAGAGATTATGGGATGAATATGGGATGGGTGGGTGGGAGTTAACCATCTTTATTGGTGCTTTCCAGAAAGAAATAAAGGTTTGGTTGTGATTATGTGGGGGGAGAGTTTGGAGCCCATGCTGGCTGGGAGATTTTAGGGGTGCAGTCCACAAGGGACTTGTCCTGGGTCCCCATGGATCCTCACAGGGGAGGCCTGCCCTTGGCGTGGAAGGGCATCTTATCTGCCCAGTTGGCACTGCAGAGACCATTACTACATCACAGCCACCCCCACAGAGGCAGCAAAGTGCTCCGTACAGCTTGTACAGCTGCAGGCTCAGCCCAGTTTGTTCCCTCCCTCCGTCCCTCCTTTTCCAACAGACAGTGTATGGTTATGCACATGATTCCTGAATCTGCCAGGAAATTGGAGCCTTTACTGTTGGGTAACTTGCAACCTTCCAGGTTGTGCAGGACGGCAGTTCCCATCATCCATCACCTTAGTCTAGGATAGCTAACAGCTGATGGGCATTCCAGTCTAATACCATCTGAAAGGCCACACTTTCTCCCATTGTCATTTAGAGATTAGCCCCTGGAGGTGCAATGGGTTAAACCCTTGTGCTGGCAGGACTGAAGATAGGTCAGAGGTTTGAATCTATATAGAGCATGTATGAGCTCCCGCTGTCAGCTCCAGCTTCCCATGCAGGGACATGAGAGAAGCCTCCCACCAGGATGGTAAAACATCAAACAACCGGGCATCCCCTTGGCAATGTCCTTGCAGACAGCCAATTCTCTCACACCAGAAGTTTCTCAAGTCGCTCCTGACACAGAAAAAAAAATTAGAGGTTTAAACTGGGAAACAAGAAGCAGGGCATTGTAGGGTGCATCTACCCCAGAGCTTTCCAAACCCTGCATCACAATATGTTGGTGTGTCGGCTGCAGTGTCTAGGTGTGACATGCAACTGTTACAAAGAAACTTTGAGGCCTTTGGGAAATAAGCAACAAATCATATATATTTAAAAATATAGACAAAAAGTTTTCATGAGATACGTTGTGTCCCCAAACATTCCATTATTACAATTTGTATCTGTATCCGTATCTCTTATCAGTGTTGGTTTAACCCTTAGTTTGCAAGTAAAACTGAATTACTGTGTCACAAAATAATGTGTGCCTAAAAAATATGTCACCAACGTGAAATGTTTAGAAAGCTCTGATCTACACTGTAGAACTGGTATCAAATTTCATTAATGTTTGCTATTATGGCTCAGTGCTATGGAAACATGGGAGCTGTTGTTTTACAAGATCTTTAGACTTCTCTGTCAAAGAGTGCTTCTGCCTCACCAAACAATTCTCATCATTTCATAGCACTGAGCTGTGGCAGTTGTAGTGATGCCAAACTGCATAGAAGCACCCTCCAAGATCTTCTTTAAGATGATAACATAGGATGGAATCATTTCTTCAACGTATATTGTTTATTTCCTGGTCTCACAGTCGGGATGGTTGAAGGGTGTGGAATGGTCACACTCATGTTTGAAGGAGCTGCACCTACTTATTTTATGTGTACATGCATATATCCCACATTTTCCTTCAAGCAGAAGGAGTTTTTCTGGACAACAAGTCAAACATGAGCCAATAATGTGGCAGCTAAAAAAGCCAATGGAATTTTGGCCTACATAAATAGGCATATACGTAGTGTCTAGGTCCAAAGAAGTAATCCTGCCCCTCTATTCTGCCTTGGTCAGACCACACCTGGAATACTGTGTCCAATTCTGGGCACCACAATTGAAGAGAGATGTTGACAAGATGGAATGTGTCCAGAGGAAGATGACTAAAATGATCAAGGGTCTGGAGAACAAACCCTACGAGGAGTGGCTTAAAGAGCTGGGCATGTTTAGCCTAAAGAAGAGAAGGCTGAGAGGAAACATGATAGTGCCATGTATAAATATGTGAAAGGAAGTCACAGGGAGGAGGAGCAAGCTTGTTTTCTGCTGCCTTGGAAACTAGGACACAATGGAAAATGTCTTCAAATTACAGGAAAGGAGAGTCCACCTGAACATTAGGAAAATTTCCTGACTGTGAGAGCTGTTCAGCAGTGGAACGCTCTGCCCCGGAGTGTGGTGGAGGCTCCTTCTTTGGAGGCTTTTAAGCAGAGGCTGGATGGCCATCTGTCTGGGGTGCTTTTGAATGCGATTTTCCTGCTTCTTGGATGGCTCACGAAGTCTCTTCCAACTCTATCGTTCTATGATTCTATGATTTATATCCTCACAACAACTCTGTGAGAGAGGCTAGGCTGAGAGGGGGGGGGGGGGGGGGGGGGGGGGGGGGGGGGGAGGAGAGAGGAGCAAGAAGTGGGGAGGAGGAGGAGATGTGCTCACCTGGCACATCATTTCTATGAAGACAGCTCCAGTAATCTCATGCCTCTCAAAACAATTTTCTATGTGTTGAGTCAGGTTCAACATGCAAACTTTCTGGCTGCCTAAGGATTTCAGTATCTCAAGTGTGCATCTAACTCTAATTGTCATACTATGGTGAAGTAGAGATTGTTTGGAATGCTTAATGTGGCATCAACTATAAATTTTAAGTTGACATATTGATAGATATGCATAATTTGAATGAGTAATGATTTGTGTTTTATGTTTATGTGTTTTTAATCTATGCTGTTGAAATAGTTTTATGTGTTTTTAGTTATGATCAGAGGTTTGGAAGCCAAGTCCTATGAGGAGTGGCTTAGGGAGCTGGATATGGTTAGCTTAGAGAAGAGAAGGTTGAGGAGGGACATGATAGCCGTGTTAAAACATTTGAAATGACGTTATCAGGAAGAGGGGACAGGAAATGGAGCAACAGATTCAAATTGCAGGAAAAGAGATTCCACCTCAACATTAGGAAGAATTTCCTGATGGTAAGAGCTCTTTGGCAGTGGAACATGCTTCCTCGGAGCAAGGTAGAGTCTTCTTCTCTGTGAGTTTTTGAACTGAGGCTGGATGGCCATCTCTGGGGATGTTTTAATTGTGTTTTCATGCATGGGAAAAGGGGTTGGACTGGATGGCCCTTGGATGTCATCTAGGATTCTAGAACTCTATGCTTGCAGTCACCCCATGGATGTTTGGCTGCTTATCAGAGATGGCCAGGCACAGGCCCATAGCCAGGATTTTTATTCGGGGGGGGGGGGGGGGCTCAGGATCTACCCTAGCAAACCTTTTGTATCATTCTCCCAATACCCCCATGCATATGGGATATATTGAGCATGGTGATCAGATCATGATATGAATATAACAGTTTAAATAATGCACCAGTAAGGCCTTCTTGCAGGCCACCCTGAGAATTTGGGGGGGGGGTGAAGCCCATCTAGCCTGCCCCCCCTGACTACGGTCCTGGCCAGGCAAGTGACTAGCAAAAGTATATCTGTTATCTGTGGAATGATTGAATTCCTGCACTAGGCACAAACAGATATGCAACCGAAGAATGGGAGTTTGCATAATTCCCTTCCTTGGTGAGATTCGTAATGGAAGATGAGCTTTCCCCGTCTTCCCAGAGGCTCCTCAACACCATTAAGGGAAACATTATTAAGACAATTGAAAACTGAACTGGACCCATTTACTACACTGTTTTAGTGCTATTATTCCACTTTAATTCTATGGTACCATTCTATGAGAGTCTTGAATTTGCAATTGGGGGATAGGACATCTCTAGTGCCTGTGACGAAACTGCTCCAAGACTATATAGGTTGTGTTCATAGCAGTTCAAGCGGAATCAGAAGCTGTGTAATGTGAAGGGATGCAGGGTTCATTGGAGTTTTGGGACTTTGATGACACCATTTCATGAGTTGCATATGTGTTCTGAGGACAGTGTGCGCACCAGGGTTCAATTGCCCACTTGGAAGCCCACTGGGTGACATTGGGTGAGTCGCAAACTCTCAGCCCCAGAAAATCCCATGATAGCTTCATTTTAAGGTTGGCAAAAGTTGAAATTTACTGGAAAAAAAACATAACCACAACAAATAGTGAAATGAACCCATGCTACGGGTGGTTAAAGTTTGATAGAACCACTCTATTGCTCCTATATCTCATGTAATGCCACGAGAGTATGTTTTTGGCTCAGGACTCATCATGTGCCCTAGGAACTGGTTTGATCACATGAGACCTCACAACTCTCTTGCTCTTAACAGTTTCACTGGTTCTGCTCTTTTTCTAGGCACCATTCAAAGTGCTGTACAGCTCTCTATACAGCTTAGAGAGGGCATTTTGATGACTGCTCCCAGATTTTGGAAATCCCTTCCCAGAGAAGTTGATTGGTATTCTAAGATAGTAAATATTGTTAATGAGGAAAAACATTCAAATTGAGGCTACAGCAGTTTGCTTTTACCTGGGCCTACTTGAAAGGCAAGAGACAGCCTCCTCCTCTCCCTCCTGATGAATGCAAGCTACTTTTATACTTTGAACTTAGGATGCAATTGGTGTTTTAAAAGTCTTTTCTGCCAGAGTCCTGGTGCCTCACCAAACTACAATTCCCAGCTCACCAACTACAACTTCGAGCCAATGCAGTTCAAGCAATTTCAAACTGCAAATATCAATTCTACAGTGTAAACGCCTCTCAGTTGGTGGCACCCGAAGTAACCCAAGGACAAGTAGGAGGGAATTGACAGAGGTGAGGGAAACTGAGGCATTTAAAAACCATCTGGAAAAGTGGGATGGCCAAGAAGAGATTGGGATTGTTCCTGCCAAAACAGGAGAGTTGGGAAGTAAGTAAAAATGCCTGCTATTTGTGAGAGCAGCAATGGGACTGTTGTGTCCCTAACATTCTGATGTGAATGTATTGCCTTGTGATTTCTATGAGGATGTCCTATCTTCACCATGTTGTTGCTATGATGGCTTACTTTCCTCTGAAAACTTGGCTCTGCTTATTTTTCTAACACCAACCAGTCTCCACCTGCCACTGCCCTGGTTATCCCTTCACACCCCTCTGTTTCCACATAGGCACCCTGCTTTAGTGCTGGGAGGGTTCCCTAATTTAGCCATCACCATCCTTCACTCCAACCCCCAACCCTACCTCCCCATTTTTGGGTGCTGAGCTGCAGGAGGATGCTTTTGATCCACAGCCTGTCTTTCATCTAGTGCCAAAGTGGGGAGGAGGGCAGACAGGGAATTTCCCCCTGGAAAATCAACCACCCAGGTGCTTTGCTTTGCTTTCCCTCAGGTAGTGGAGTTGGGCTGGAAGGGATTTACATAGCCCAGCATACGTGTAGGACAAAATGCATGAACTCCACCTCTCTGTGCTTGTGAGTTTTTTTTTTTTTAAAAAAGATAAGATTTCTGGTTTCTTAAAGTTATTTCTTTCCACTGATTTCTTTCCGTAGACACCTCCAAGGTCATGTGGCATGCATGACTGCATGGAGCACCATTACCCACCCGCTGGAGTGGTACCTATTGATCTGCTCACATTTGCATGATTTCAAACTGCTAGGTTTGCAGAAGCTGGGGCTAACTCCAGGAGCTCACCTCGCTCCCTGAATTCAAACCATCAGCCTTTCTGTCAGCAAGCTCAGCAGCTCAGCAGTTTAACCTGCTGCATCACTGGGGGCTCCTACTGATATCCTATGCTGCTATATCAAATTTAACAGCTTCCATAGTGTTCCCTCTTTATACATGTTATCCTAACACTTGTCTCATACCTGGAATTTTCATATTGCTATTTTTACTATGATTTGTAGCATGTTTACCTTAAATGTAAATCTCGTGCCATTGTCTGATGATTCAGGGAGGAGAAAACTCTAAATGTGAAAAAGTTACTTTATAAGATTATATTTCCTAGAATCACCCAACCAAAAGGTCCCAGAGGATTTGGGATGTTGTTGCTCAAAAAAGCAATGTTGACAAGGTCTGAAAGAAATGTGTGAGTGGTTGAATTTTATTCTCAGATTCTGGCTGGAAAAGCTGAATGGAGTAAGAAATATACATGAAGAAAATTCTGGAAAGGACCATGTGTGCAGAATCTTGAAACAGAGGCCCTTCCTTTTTTGGAACTTCCCTCTCTCCATATTGATAAAAAGAAAAAAATGCCTGAAACCAACCATAGTTTCATGCCGGATCAGAACATTTAGTCAGAAGCAGAATTCATTGTATTACTGTATTTCAAGTTCTTGTTGCTCTTTTTGTCTAGCAATTATTCTTAACCTGTGGGCTGTGGACCACCAGTGGGCCGCAAGGATGAAAATCTGGTCCGTGAGCCTCCTTCCTCTTTATTTATTTTATTTAATTTAATTTCCACTCCTTTTGCACCACATGCCTTCCCTGTCGCTGATCACAGCATATTTTCTGTATCAGAAACTAGAGCTGATGTGGTATATCCAATGCAATTTTCTGAATCAGCACCCCAAACTGAATCCAAAGTTGACCAAAAACAGATTTGTAACCCTTTTGGTACTAATATTGGAGAGTGGTCTCAGGTCAAAGTGGTCCCTGGTCAAAGTAGTCCCTGGTCAAGTGGTTCATGGTCAAAAAAAGCTTGGGAACTACTGGTCTAGCAAGATGGACTACTAGTGTATCACAAGTGGTATAGTGGTGAATTTTGCAATACAAACTAGTCTTGGTGTTCTGTTTTATTTTTTGTCCCTTATTCATTGACTGTCATTTATTCTGGTGCTAGGACAAAGGGCTGCATATACTTGTGTATATGGCAACCTCAAGGGCAGGTTTGGGGGTCAAAATTAAGGAATTTTTTATGACCCCTGGATAAAGTAAAGATCATTTCGCATGGAGCACCTGCACTGCATCAGAGAACCAGCTGTACCTGACCACCACCATTTTCCTACCCATGCATTCAAAAAGGCTTTTTGCTACTCTAAGGTGCAGTAGTAACTTACTCCTCAAGAGAAGGCACTAATTTAATTTCTGTGTTTTCTTCTAGGTCCCTAGGCCATGATTTCCTGGGGCCAAAGGCATTGGTTGAACCTGTTTTTACTCCCAACACCGTCTGCATGACCCTCCCTTGGCTGAGTCGGCGCCAACTTGGACTCTGTGTCCGCAGCCCAGAAGCAATGGCTTCAGCTCTACAGGGCGTCCACCTGGCCATTCATGAATGCCAGCACCAGCTCCAGCAGAGGCGCTGGGATTGCTCAGACCTCAGCAGTGGGGGCACTATCCTTCTCAACAGTCCTATCCTTAAGAGAGGTGAGGAGGTTTTTGGAAAAAGTCACTCCTTTTTGCCCAATATATTTTTTTTGTCACCCCTTTCCTCCTTTTTATGTGAACCTGGATGTATAGGTATATAAAACAGGCACACGAATCAAACATTTACTAATCATAAATCCTTATTTGCAGGGTTTGCTGAACAGTCTGATCTTCCTTTTTTATGAAGTACAATTGAAGCATTTTCTACAGAGTCCACTGCAAACACTGCAACTTGCTGATAGCAGATTCATGTAAATGTCTAGGTGGCATTCAGAAACCTTTCACAGTTGACAACTTTTCTGTGACCCCAACCTTGAGTTAAGAAGACCCCATTTGGAGTTGGGACCCTTCCACACAGCCATATAATCCAGAATATCAAGGCAGAAAATCCCGCAACATCTGCTTTGCACAGGGTTATCTGAGTCCACACTGCTATATATTCCATCTTAAAACAGAAAATATGGGATTTTAATCAGCTGTGTGAAAGGCGACTAAGTATTAACATGCTAGTCAGCAGTGCATTAGGTGAGTTAACTCTCATTGAGAGTTGTGGTTGGATTGAGGCCAGGATCTACACCCTTACAGGGCGATGCTAACCACTGTAACTTTACATGATTTCCCCTATTGGTTACCTGCATCCCAATGGGAATATGTTAAGATCCTGAGATGCAAAAGATATCCTTGGTGGGTCTAAAACTTAGAAACAGAAAGCTTTTTGATTAGGAAATGTATATATTCCTTTTGGTACACCAGCAGCACTTTCTACGTGTGCAGGTGTTCCTTGGTTGCAAAGTATGGCTCCAGTTTTGAAAGAAGGTGACAAAAAGGGTCACAAGTTTAACTGTTCACTAGACTGAATGATAGTCCAGATGTTGGGGTCTACAGGGATTTAGCCTTGATTTATTTGGCAGCACTATTCCTAGCATCAATTTTTGTCTGGGAACAGGTAGATCCCAGGATGATCCTGGTAAAGATGATCAGGCCTGCTATGTCGCTTCACATCATACCTGATTTATGACAACCCCCTCCTGGGGTTTTCTTGGCTAGGTTTATTCAGAAGAGGATTGCCATTGCCTTCTTCAGCGGGTGTGATTGCCCACAGTCACCCAGTGGGTTTCCATGACTGATCAGATATTTGACTTCCATCCCAATCCTAGTCTAGCACTCTGGTACACTGGCTGACCTGCCTGCTACAATGTCTCCCATTAGTACTGATCTGTGCCCGGTCAGTTATTCTGAATGCAGGAAGCTGTGGTACCCCAAAAGCAATCCTTCCAAAGAAAAGCAAGCAATGTTGAGGTTTTTCTTTTTTGCCAGTCCAGCAAATGGAGAAGAAGAGCTTTTTGGTGTGTGTGTGTGTTTACTAATAAACACTTTACATCAGGAGTCCCCAGACAGTTACAGCACACTCCCTCAGACTGTTGAGGGGGCTGAACCATAGATTGAAAAAAAAGAAGAAAGAATTCCTATGGGCACTGCACATATTTTATTTGTAGTGCAAAACACACACAAAAGAACAATACAATATTTAAAATTAAGAACTATTTTAACCAACATAAACTTACTGGCATTTCAGTGGAAAGTGTGGGCCTGCTTTTGGATGGTGAGATAGTCAAGTTAACTGGGATTGTTGTTGTTATTGTTGTTTGCCTTCAAGTAGTTTCAGACTTAGTGTGACCCTAAGTCTGAAGTGTAGAGTTTTGTTCTTGTTTTGTTTTTCGTTTTTTGTTTTTTCGTGTCAGGAGCAACTTCAGAAACTTCAAGTCGCAACATCTGCAAGGATGGGCAACATCTGCAAGGATGTTGCCCAGGATGTTGCCCAGGGGATGGCCAGCTGTTTTGATGTTTTACTATCCTTGTGGGAGGCTTCTCTCATGTCCCCACATAGGGAGCCATAGCTAACAGAGGAAGCTCATCTGTGCTCTCCTGGGATTTGAACCTTGGACCTGTCAGTCTTCAGTCCTGCCAGCACAACGGTTTAACCCATTGCGGCACTGGGGATCGGAAAAATGACCTTGGAGTGCCCCATTTGGTCCACAGGCCTTTGTTTTAAGACCTCTGCTCTACATCTTCCTCAGTACTTAGAGCCTGCCATGACCCACTTGTCCTTTTTTAATGCACACCAATGCCAGGTCTCTCTCATTCCCTCCCTCTATCTCTGGCAAATCTCTGCCAGGTATCTTTCCCTGGCTGTATGCACAGTGGCCAACACCTGACCCTAAAGGCAAGTTGGCAGTGAGCTCTTTTCTTTTGTCATTTGGATCTCTTTTATTAATATGGCTTTGAAGGAGCCAGTTCTAAATTTAAACCTCAGATCAAAGTCAGCCTCCTGGGCAGGCAGGAGCTGGAGCAAGCTACAACCTCCAACACCTGGGCCCAGCCATTCCTCCGTGTGTCATCGTGGTGAGGCTGCGGGTGGGGAAGGGGAAGCCTTTTGTCCTGTTTTCTAGGTACTGGGGCAGCCTCTGACATGGAGAAGCAATGGGATATCTTGATCAATGGAAGGGCTTTGACAGATAAAATAAAGACAAAGGAACACACTGGGTGTAATGGATACACATCCATCCATAATTTAATTGTGGTTGTAGACCAGCCTTTTTAATTAGAAAACGGGTGAGTACAAAACAAACAGGTACGGATCACTAGTCTCAGGAAAATTCCAGCAGCGTATGCTTGTTGTTTCGTGCTTTCAAATCAGTTCTGACTTATGGTGACCCCTAAGGCAAACGTTTCGTGAGGTTTTCCTGACAGAACTGGTTAAAAGGGAGTTTGCCTTTGACTCCCTTGCAGACTGAGTGGGGATTTGAACCTTAGGCCCCTTCCACATAAGTGAATAAAATCCCACATTTTCTGCTTTGGACTGGAATATATGACAGTGTGGACTCAGATAACCCAGTTCAAAGCAGATATTATGGGATTTTCTGCCTTGACATTCTGGAATATAGGATTGTGTGGAAGGGCCCTCGGATATCCCAGTTCAAAGCAGATATTGTGGGATTTTCTGCCTTGATATTCTGGGTTATATGGCTGTGTGGAAGGGCCCTTAGTGAAGACTTCCCAGTGCCTTGATCCAACTGAAATAATCACACCATGCTGGCTCTGTATGATAGAACGTAAGCATCTTCAATAAGGAATCGAATAAAGCCTACTGTTATTGATAAAATTACTAAGCAGATTAATCAGTTGTTTTCTAACAGCTACACTATTGTATGCCACCACCTTAAGAGTCATTTCATTGGCAGGATTGGGAAGAAAGATGTACTAAAATTATTGGATCTGCCTTGTTGTTTATTTGTTCAGTCGCTTCCGACTCTTCGTGACCTCATGGACCAGCCCACACCAGAGCTCCCTGTCAGCCGTGGCCACCCTCAGCTCCTTCAGAGTCAAGCCAGTCACTTCAAGGATACCATCCATCCATCTTGCCCTTGGTCCGCCCCTCTCCCTTTTTCCTTCCATTTTCCCAATCTGCCTTAAAAAACATTTAAATTGGAGTAATATATATGTCTTTGTAGTATAGGCAAAGACAGGCAATATACTACAGTATGACTCGCATATCCATAGGTGATATGTTCCAAGACCCACCATGTATATCTAAAACTGTATAAAAGTAAATTCTATATTTTGTCTTTGCTTTAACTAGAAACATACCATAGAGTAGTATTGGAGATCCTAGATAGTCCCACAAACACCTCTGGGGAGAATATTTGTTGGAATGTAGGTAAATGCTGCTGTGAATATCAAATCCATGGATAAGGGAGTCATCCATAGTGTGCATTTTAGACTTTCCGTCATGGCTGACAAGAACAGGCACATTTGGAGTAAGGGTCTCTCTCTTTTAAGAGGACTTCTAGAACAATTAAATGAACATTCAAGTCTTAAAGTGATCATTAAAAAATACAGGCTCTGTGGTATTTCGGAACCTCTAGGGCATAAAAATAATTGTCCACTTTTCAAACTGTAGTTCCCACCTGCCAGATAACTCAGAATGTGAGCCTTATCTTCCTGAAGAATTATATACCAGATCTTTGGTCTGATTATCTTTTTGGCTTTGGAGAATCCCAGGTGTAGTAGAGCTGATGGGGATTAGTTGTGTTCTAGGAATGATGCATATCAGGATAAGGATCATGTCGAGGCAGAGGACTTGCCAACATTACCAAACAAATGCATACTGATCGAGAAAGATTCCTGTAACACAGATTGGGATCTGAAATGGCAATCCTGGGAGAATTTACGAGCACTATTGAAACCAGCTGACCCTAACTCTGAGTTGACATATTTATATTTGCAGTGTAGCAAGCCACAGGTATGCTGGCTTTATAGGGTTTTTTTGTGTGTGTATGTGTGTCAGAAGCGACTTGAGAAACTACAAACTGCTTCTGGTGTGAGAGAATTGGCTGTCTGCAAAGGCGTTGCCCAGGGGACACCTGGATGTTTTACCATCCTGTGGGAAGCTTCTGTCATGTCCCCACATGGGAAGCTAGAACTGACAGGAGCATACCCTGTCTCACAGATTCAAACCACTGACTTTCAGGTCAGCAGTTCAACCAGCACAAGGGTTTAACCCATTGCGCCACCACGGCTCTGGATTCATAGTAACTATCCTTGTACCTGCTTTTCTCTGATTTCAAATGCAAAAGAGTAAAGTCTAGTTGATACTTGGATAGTAGATATACTTACTTACTTACTTACTTAGGCAATCCCTTGTTGTCCGAGTAGGATGGTCCTCCAGGATCAGTGTGCGATGGATCCGTAGGTGACTGTGGAGCTGCCTTGAATCCTTAGAGAACTACTACAGTAGAGACTCACTTATCCAACCTTTGCTCATCCAATGTTCTGCATTATCTAACGCAGCCTGCCTCCCACCTGGATCCACAGCTGTTTCAATACATTGCAATGTTGCAATAATTAAGAAAATCAGGAAACTATGGTATAAATCATATTTGTTCATTATTTGTAAAAATAATTAATTTTGAAGACATTCAGAGGATTTGGGTCTTTTGGGAAGGCCTTATGCGTTATGAAAGTGGATATATTGTAAAGATTAGAATTTTGAAAATCAGAGCTGTCACTGGTTTGAGCATTGGTTTCTGTTGAGCCATGGAAACTTGCTGGATGACTGTGGGTCACACTCTCTCAGCCCCAGGAAATCCCAAGATAAGATCACCATAATTCAGAAACAACTTGAAGACAGAAAACAACAACAAAAAGGAATAATATGTTAGTCATGTGTTATTTGTAAAATGGCAAGTAATGGCTGGTGTATTTTAAAAAACAAGAAACAGAACTTGAAAAACATTTAAAAAATAGTCTTCTAGGCTCTGTTCTAAACAATTGTAATCAGCACATACATTGCTGAAAAGCACAATCCTGCATGCCCTCAACATGTTTAATTAATCTTAGCCCATCCTGATGAGAAACCCTTTGTGACAGTCTGAAGATACTCAAGGACTTTGGCACTGGACTCAGGGAAGGGCATGCTTTCGTTACAGTGCAGCTGCAGATGCTCTAACTTGGCATAGTGGCGGTATTACTAAGAGGATGTTCTCAGCTGATCTTCAGCATGGCTCCATATATACAATGACATCACCGCACAAGCAATAGGAGCTGAGCATGGAAGAAGAAAAAAGTCCCTCCACTTTCAGGATGGGATGGTGATGGCTTGTTGTTTGAAACAGCATGTTTGTTCGGAGAAAACTATGCAGACAATATGACAACAATCGGGCAATGAGATTGGAAGAGTTATTCCAATGCTTAAGAAAGGGAAGAAAAGCACCCTGCATAGCTGTTGCTTTTGGTTTGTTCCTCCACATAACAGATGCAGGGGAAAGGGTGAGAGATCAGCAACTCTGTACACAAATCCTTGATTTGGCCTGAGCAAACAATTGGATTATTTTGCTTTCTTTAGTAACCACATGGGGGATATTTCAGCCCTGAACAGGAGTCACAGTACAGAACATGGGAGTGTTACTGGAGAAACTATATATATGTATATGTATATATGTATATATACAATATATCTTATTAATGTTATTTTTAAATCATTTAAAAATAAAAAACAATGTTTAAAAACACCAGAGATAACCTCCAACCTTCCTACAAGTTATCCTCAAGTATACATACTTGATAATGCAAAACACTTCACAATTTACCTTGTTTTCATTAAAATGCTTAATGTAATGGTGCTGGACTTTATCATTTCCTCCTTCCAACTGCAAAGCTAGAGACAATGGCATTACTCTCATCATGCTCCTTCCAGCTCTCCTTTCAGGGATCTCCAAAGATCATAGTGGGTCCCAAGAGGTAGATTTTGTCTATTGGGCTTGTTTCTCCTACATGTTCAGACCTAGACCCAATGTTGGGATACCTGTTCCTTCTTCTTCCTCCTCCTTCTGGGTTTTGTTATTTGAATTGTCTCCAGGTGTACCGTCCAACCCCTTTTCCCTCCCATGTGCTTTGTCTCCATAGGTTTCCGCGAAAGTGCCTTTGCCTTCTCGTTGCTGGCGGCAGGGGTGACTCATGCGGTGGCCACCGCTTGTAGCCTAGGGGAGCTTCGTGGCTGTGGCTGTGCCAGGCAAAGCACCGAGAACCAGAAGCTGAAGCTCAGCCAACTACAAACTCTCAGCAAGGGCAAGAGCCTGCCCCCTGTGCCGTCCTCCTGGTGGGGGGAACCTGGCCCCCAAGACACCTGGGAGTGGGGGGGCTGCAGCGCAGACTTTGACTACGCCCAGAGATTTGCCCGGCACTTCTTGGACCCTCGGGGGAAACCACGTGATGCTCATGCACGGATGCAGCTGCACAGCCACCGCATAGGCAGGAAGGTAGGAGGTTCTCCAGGGCATGGGACAGGATTTGGGCGGTTGGGGGTTGGCAATGCAAGTGATAGTAACCGCCATAATTAAAGGACAGGGCTGGGAGCATCTGGGAGACAGTAGTCAAGATCAAGCATTGCTGTGGACATCCCACTGTGGCCTGTCATACAGACATGGTATGATATCTGGTGTCATATTTCACATCCTCAGAATTTTTATGGTCATACAATGGATTACAAGGCTTTAGCTCTCATGGTTGTAGAGAAAAATGTGAGATGATGTAAAATGACAATGTTAAGCAAGGAAAACTCCTGTCCAATACTTTATGTGAGTATTCCTAAATGATATTTTAGAGTGTTGTGGTGGAAGAGTAGGTAGAAGGTGGATTGGGATCTACAGCAGAACCTTTGGTTGATTCCCTCAGTTCAATGAGGAGCTGGCAGCGATGAAGTGTGTGAAGAGGAGTCTAGGCGCAATGAGTCAGACCGTGTGTGTCTATCTAAGGGCATACACCACAACAATAGATGCCGCAAAAAATCTCTCTTTGTGGTCAATATAGCATCTGTAAGGAACCATTCAGCGGAGTTGTTTTGAGTGGTCAGAGGGCTGTTAAATCCCATCTCACAGGATGGGATCCCTGACCCTTGGCAGGTTGTTGTGAAGCACTTGCTCAGTTCTTTGCGGACAAAGTTACTCTGATCTGCTCCAATCTGGACGCCATGTTAATGGCAGTCTCTGAGGATGTAACATGAGTACCTGCTTGTCTGGTTTTGATAGATTAATATCAATTAGTGCAGCTCAAGGATGTGGACAAGATCCTTGGAGAAACAAGGGCAACCACATGCATCCTAGACCCCCAGCCATCCTGGCTGATAAACAAAATCACAAAGGGAGAATATACATTGATCTAGGAGACTATTAATGTTGCCAGAAGCTCATTGGGAATGATAAACTCATTGGGAATGATAAACAAGAAGGCCTAGGGTAGCACAGCTGGTTATACTGCTGCACAGTTGAACTTGCTCACTGAAAGGTTGGAGGTTCAAATCCAGGAGCAGGGTGAGCTCCCACTGTTAGCCCCAGTTTCTGCAAACCTAGCAGTTCAAAAACATGCAAATGTGAGTAGATCAATAGGTACCACTTCTGCGGGAAGGTAACAGCACTCCAAGCAGTCTTACTGACCACATGACCTTGGAAGTGTCTATGGACAATGCCGGCTCTTTGGCTTAGAAATGGAGATGAGCACCATCCACCAGTCTAGACTTAACATCAAGGGGAAACCTTTACTTTTTTTAAAACAAGAAAGCACATGTTGTGCCTGGGATTTTTTTAATGAAAAAAACTTGCTAAAGGCAAAATTTGGGATTTTTGCATTTTCTTGAATTTAGATAGTGTTGGTATAGTCCTAGTGGATAGGAATGGGTGGAAATCTAGCCTCTTGCCTGCTCTCAACTGGTGGGTTCATGCATCCATTCTGGTATTGCCATCTGAACCTTAAAGGAACTGTCCAAGGTGCTGACCAGCCCTGTCTTTACGGCAGGGGTTCTCAAACCTTTGCAGTCAGTTTCTCATGGAGCCCCAAGAAATGTTTATGTATATATATCAGGCATGGGCAAATATTTTGATGCATTGTGTTTTAAAATTTGACAGATGGATCGGGCCAGTGGCAGATGGATGGAAAGTGTTTGTGTGAACAAATTGGGGGGGAAATGAATAAATTCCTATGCATATTGCACATCTTTCATTTGTAGTGCAAGTAAGAAAGAAAGGACAATACAATATTTAAAATGAACATTTTTAACTAACATAAACCTAACAGTATTTCAGTGGAAGTCCCCAGGGGTCATCTGGTCCAGACCCCTTTTGCCATGAAGGAAAATTACAATCAAAGCACCCCCAGCAGATAGTCACCCAGCCTTTGTAATAATAATAATAATAATAATAATAATAATAATAATAATAGGAGCAACCCAGGGAGCACCCAGTCCAACTTCCTTCTGCCATGCAGGAAAAGCACAATCAAAGCCACCCCCTGAGCAGTAGGAGGGAAAGCAAGGTTTTGGAAGCAAGCAAGGCAAAAGGGAAAGGATCTGGGTGGCAAGGGAGGTGAGGAAAAAAGGCTTTTGGGGGGGGGGGAGCAAGTGAGATGGGGAGGGGGAGGAGCAGGAAAGAGGAGGAAAAGCTTGGAAGGGGAGGAGGGGGAGGGAAGCGTGGAGCCCCCCAGTATGCTTCACAGAGCCCCAAGGGCTCCAGGGAGTACCCCTTGAGAATCACTGCTTTAAGGGATCACTGTTGTGTGCCTTCAAGTCATTCCTGTCTTATGAGGTCCCTAAAACGAATCTATTGCTGGGCTTTCTTGGAAAAAAATATCTAGAGAGGGTTTGACCTTGTCTCCCTCTGAGGCTGAGAGAATGTCACTTGTTCAAGTCCACTCAGTGGGTTTCAACAGATTCAGAGTCATAGTCCAAGACTCARAGCACTTTATTGTGCTGGCTCTTCTTTAAGAGGCCTGCAATATAGGTTTGCAATGTCAGACCTAACTTAGGCTGAGACCTGAGCAAAATGCAAATGGAGATGGGGGGGGGGGGTAGTCCCTGAGATCCAGCCGAGCCTTGAGATAGTTTAGTTTCTTCCATTTGGACTAAAACCTGGAGTGTTCCTCTTTCTACTCAGATTATTTGGTAGGTATTTCTGCCTATCTTTCAGACAAGGGGGTTCCATTATTTGCCAGGTCTTTTGTCTGCAAAGAATTGGCAGAGTGCATGTCTTTAGGAAATGCTTTAGGTGTGCCTCCTTCCAATCAGGAAACCAACTTAGAAGGGCAGCCAAGGTAGAAATGGAAGAAATGTGCACATGTGCAGTCCCTCATGCTTACGTACCACAAACGAAAGCCCTTTTGCATGTAGGAATACAGCAAGCCTTGGGTTCTAGTTCAACTATATGGCATAGGAATCAGAAATATGGGGAACCAGCCTACAAACTGATTGTGCCCTTAATACTCCTAAAACCAGAAACCCAGTTGTCTTTGTTCATATTTAAATCCAAGTTCAGTTAGAAGAATTTGTCTTCCCCTTTTCTCCAAAATTCGTTCTTGATTTTCTGCAAATTCTTCATAGACACTAGAGGGCTGTACTGTGCACAGTTTTAGCACAGACGTAAAGACTGAAGTGAGCCACAGCGCGAGCTTCAAATGCGAGTAATATCTTGAACGTCATCACCAGTGATGGCTCATTCTGGGTGTAGGCATCCCGCTATTCCAAGGGTGGGGAATATTTGGCCCTCCAAACGGCTTTAGACTATGTTCCCATCATCTTTTATCATTGGCTGGGCTGGCTGGAAGCCCAAAATATCTGGAAAGCCAGAAGTTCTCCACCCCTGTTCTTTTCCTTCCTTATGGACAAAAGTCATAGGTGGTTGGCAATAACTGTGAGAACAGCAGCAAGTTCAATTCAATAATGGAAGTGTCAGTAAGGACTGGGGCTCTGCAGACCTTGGGAACATGAGTTTATGTTGGCATGAACCAATAACCAGCCATTATAGCATGATATCAGCATTGCATGTAAACAGATTCCTTCTGGTACAAGAAGACTGAACTCCCCTTTTCCATAGCTAGCGGAATGTGCCATTTGCTGCAGACTTCAGATAGACAATCTTTTAAAGAGGTTAATTTTTTTAGTTACTTACTTACTTAGAAACACTGTGTTTAGGCTAACCAAAAAGGCACAATATTATTTATGCAAGTTTTCAAAGAACACACAGGTCTTTGCTGAAGAAACACAAAAAAGCTGCAGGATATACAGGGGAGAAAAGTTATGATGTTGAAGTCACACAGTCTGCAGGTTAAATAGAAGGGAACTGAAGATTAGCTATGTGGGTTGAATGGAAAGTAATGCCTCTACCTTCATTACTTGGGTTTGGGTGAGAATATTTTAATAAATCAAATGCAGAAATAATCCTTAGAATGTACTTTTTAACTACCACCATTCACTTTTCCAAATAATCACCAGACAATTGGATACATTTTTGTCAACAATGAACAAGTTTTCTGAAGCCGTCACAGAAGAAGTCGACACTCTGTTTCTGCAACCAGCATCTCACAGTTCTCTCAACGTCTTCATCAGAAGCATAATGATGTCCCCGCAGATCTTCTTTCATTATTGGGAAGAGATGGAAGTCAGATGGTGCTAAATCTGGACTGTATGGAGGATGTCATATGGTGGTGAGATCCGTTCTCTGAAGTTTCAAGTCTGTGCGCTTTCATTTCAGGTGTCAGCATCCTGGGTAGCCATGGTGCACAGATCTTCCAATAGCCAAGCAAAGCAATAATGTGACCCACACGTTCTTGTGAAATGCTGATTATGCTTGAAATTTCTCTCTGAGTGATACGACAATCGTCCTGAATCAATCTGTCAACCTTTTGCTTGTGAAACGTCTAACTCTTTGTCACTCAAGTCAGATGTTCCCACCTCAACATCTTTAAACTTTCTTGCCCAACGATGCAAAGTACTCACATCAACACAATCACCATAAACAGCTTGCATTCTTTGATGAATCTCCTTTGGGGTGACACCTTCTGCTGTCAAGAATTCAATGACTGTACGTTGCTTAAGTCACATTGACCGACTGTCTGTGCAGGGTTCCATACTTTGCGCTTTAACAACACAACAGTTCAATGCTAAGGTTTCCCACCAAAATGGAACCGTAGAGGAGAGTCTACTGAACAAGTCAGTACCTGCCGCATACCAGTACAGCCATCTGTTGAGGAGTTATGAAAGTGGAGGCATTACTTTTCATTCAACCCTTGTAAATACAGCTATTGTGAGCCACACTCTAAATGGCCCTGAACTGCCAAAAACAAAGCCAGTCAAAGAAAGGGAAAAAATGGGTTGCTGTGAGTTTTCTGGGCTGTATGGCCATGTTCCAGAAGCTTTCTCTCCTAACGTTTTGCCCACATCTATGGCAGGCATCCTCAGAGATTGTGAGTTCCTCACAACCTCTGAAGATGCCTGTCATAGATGTCAGCAAAACATCAAGAGAGGTTGCTTCCGGAACATGACTATACAGCCCAGAAAACTCACAGCAACCCAATGATTCCGCCCATGAACGCATTCGACAATACAGGGCAGGGCAATAATTATTTTTCATGAAAGCACTCTTGGTCTAAATCAGGAAAGGGCAACTGTACAGGACTGGAAGGCCAATTTTTCATCCCCATGACCATTGTGCCTCTATGCTGTTTCGGTGGCTGTTGTCATCAAAAAGATTTGAGGGGTTCGGAATGATCTGGGAGACTGGAGTAGCTTCAGAGATTGCAAATATACAGTTCAGGGGCTGCACATGCCTCGCAGGATGGATTTTCTTCATTCCCATTCTAAACCAGTTCCTTTCAGATAATTTGTTCCCCATGGTTCAGGCTTGGAGGGTAGCATGCATGTTGTATTTTCCCTTATTATATGGGATGTCCTTTACTTCGTGGTTGGGAAACGTGTTCAGTGTAACGCTGGCAGGGATTCCTTATTATAAAAGGAGAATTGGAAGGTCTTCCTTTCATATTATAGGCTGAACAAGATGCAATTTTAAAAAAATACAGTAGAAACCCCCATGTTGTTTTTTGTGGTGTGGATTCTTCATGAAGGCAAACATGTGCATTATGCAGTTCATGAATGTGAACAATATTTATTTACCATACTTGTATCCTGCCTTTCTCAACCCCAAAGGAGACTCAAGGTGGACTTACAAAGACAGCAATTTGATGCCATGTGTATACAAACATCAATGAATAAACAAAAAATCTACATATATGCCACGGCATACAAGAAATGAGGAGGAAGAAGTAGGAAAGAAGCAGGAAAGAAAGCAGAGTGAAGTCTTCAGATAGGAGTTTTTCCTTTCTCGCACATCTTTCTGGGCTTGCTTATGCTCTTATCTGAAAGAAGCCGCTGCCAAATGTAAACCCCCAGAGCAATGATCTATTTACATTGGTGATGGAGCTGCAAATTGTATCTGATAACATCTCTAGGAAAACAAAACAATTTTCACCATAATAGAATTTGCTGAATAACATATTACAAAAAAGGAAGCCCTGTTTTTTTATCAGCCAAATCTATCTCCCAGTGGGTTTATTATTGTATGAAAATAAGATATACTACTAGCAGAGCCCCCTCCTTTTATGCAGATCAAGGCTTGCTTGTAGTTCCTTTGCTGGTGACTCCAGATTTTCAAGCTTATACTGACCTTCCCACTTCTCTCCAGTCAGAAAAGGGAAAGATGTGCATACAGCCTTCAAACGTGTAAACACTTTTCATGCCCCCCCCCCACACAACTTCCTAGAACAGTGCTCAGAAATTTACAGTTAGAACTGTAAATCCCAACTTTGCTTAAACAGCAAGGCCAGGACCAGTGGATTTTCCAGCCACAGAAGCGGAGGGCTTTGAAATTTGTAATACTAAATGCCCATAACCTAACTCTTTTTCAAGTAGTGGAAATAGCTATGTTCCAAATCCAAGTGTTAATTTCCAGCCAGAGTAAAAGTGTTATATGAGTAAAACTTGCATGTGTTGCATTACCAAATTTCTACCTAACTTCAGTGAGTCTACTATAGTTGAGACTAACAATTGGTTTTAGACCTATACTTGATGCAAGTAGGAACAGCATGGGAATAATGCAGCTTTCCAGATTTTGTTGGACTGTCACTCCCAGCACTCTTCACCATTGGATACCTTGGCTTTGTGGCTGGGAGCTGAAATCCAAAAACTTCCAGAGGTCCACTCAGTTCTCACTCCTACTCTGGGGAAAGGGATTGCCCATTTTCTTCCCCCAAGGCCTTGTTACATTACGTTTCAGAAGTTAATAGTCAACTCTCAACATTCACTGGAATTAAGGGTGCAGGACCTAGGTAATAGTTTTGAAAAGTGAATTAAAATGCATGTTTTAACCTAAGAGAACACCTTGAGGTAATTTCGCAACACAGTAATTCAGTTTTACTAGCAAACAGGGTGTTAAACCAACCCCTTATAAAAGATACAGAGACTTGTATACATTGTAATAATGAAATGTGTGGGGACACAACACATCTCATCAAAACCTTTAATTTATATATATTTAAAATATATCATTTGTAAGATAACATACATTTTCAAGATATTTTGTCATTTCTCATTATGTTGGCATGACATACCGACACTGCTGCTGACACACTAACATGCTGCAACACAGAGTTTTGAAAGCTCCGGAATAATACATGAGTAGTTATAGCAAAGCAATGTAAACAATAAAGACACTACGGACCAAATCCAATTTAATTGTTTGTTGTTTCTGCCCACTTCCCCCTGATGTGGAGCCCTGGGAATTTTCCTTTTTCTCTGCATACTGCTATGGTTTTTTTCAAATATAGAATCTTTGTTTAGAAAACAATGACAGCTCCCATGGTAGTTTTGTGATTATATAAGAGCAGTAAAATCACCTCTACATTTCTGAATTATCGGTCCATTACTGCATTTTATAGCTTGTATTCACATCAAGGGACTCCAGGGTGGTATACATTCGGGCTGGGGATTGTGGGTCCATCCAGATGTCATTGGATGGCAGCTCTTAGTAGAACAACTAATGGCAAGGGATCATGGGAGTTGCAGTCCAGCAATGTTCTAAGGACCACATGTAGCCCATCTCTGGAGTACAAGATTCTCCCCCTCATAAAATCCTTTCTGATAGGCTAGGCCGAGAAAAAATGATTAGTCTAAAGTTATCTAGTAATCTTTCACAGTAGTGTTTTCTCTGTCTTTGTCTGACATAAGATATTTGCTGTAATTTGAGGTTTTGTACGGCAAAAACAAGTCAATTGTGAGTCTGAGCCCACTCACAACTCTTAGACATTGCCCTCTCCCTTTCCTAATTATCCCACGTACAAAAGCCTAATGATAGTTAATGCAACAATAGAAATCTGTGCTTTCAGGAGTCAGAATCGGCATGGTTTAATTATGTGGGGCATCTGCTGCATGTAGCCTTTTGGGAGGTTGGCAGTGCAAGCCCTCCAGGCCCTACCAATTCCAAAGTCTGTCACACCACCCTAAAAAAAAAGTTTAATAATATCATGTTATTCAGCTGAGACATCATAAATTTTAGAGTAGCTAAATATTATATTCTAGGAGGCCCCCCTTCACACACACAAAATAAAGAAAGTATTCCCTGCTAAGTTGCAAGAACAACCAGGATTGATGTTAATTTACTTCCAATCGCCTGATATGGCTAATGTAGTGAAACGGTGGATCCTTTCAGAGTAACAAATCACCAAGTCTCTTAAAAACTGGCTGATGGGGGAAACTTGTGTACGGAGTATTGGAGAGGATACTTCACTCCAAAATCCTAAGGGAAGGTACCATCCCATGTAATCTGTGAGCTGTTCAAGTGGTTTGTTTGTTTCAAAGGCCACAAGTTCTCCTTGGAAAGAGGACAACGTTGTAAACATACATTGTCAAAGATATGCTAACTTAGAACTTGCTTGGGGTTGTGGGAGTATGGATTCAATTCCATACTTCTCATAGAGATTCTCAATAGCTGACACATGCTTCACCTGATTAGAGTTGCTGCTTTTTAAGCATCTTCAACAAGGGGACAAAATAGAAAAAGGCAGTTCCCTGCAGCAAAAGGTAACCAAATGTTTTCTGGCTGCTAAATCTGTCTTTCCTTCTTTGGCAGGTTGTGTCAGATCTGAGACAGCGAAGGTGTAAATGCCATGGTCCCTCAGGGAGCTGCCACTTCCAGACGTGCTGGTTGGCACCTTCTGACTTCCAGCATGTGGGTTCTGACCTAAGGGAACGAATGGACCAAGCCATATTCTTGCGGCCTCACAACGGCAACTCTGGAGCTTTCCGGCCACGACTCCACAGTTCCCGCCTGGCCAAGCACCTCATTTTTTATGAACCCTCACCTGATTTCTGTGACCCTGACCAGAGTCTCAGTTCATCAGGCACTCGTGGCCGTTTGTGCATCAAGGGAAGCATGAGGTCAGATGGCTGTGGCAGCCTATGCTGTGGCCGTGGCCACAATGTGCTGCAGGAGATGCGAGCCCAGCGTTGCCACTGCCGCTTCCACTGGTGCTGTCATGTACAATGTGAGGAGTGTCCTGCCACAGAATGGATCAGTATCTGCAAGTGAATGGCGGGAAGGCAGTGCCCCAGTGGCTGTGCTGCTACATGGGATATGGAGTCCCACAAAGGGTCAAGTTCCTGGCAGGATGAACATCAAATACACCGTTGCCAGAGTCAGTCTGCATATGCAAACATGGAGCTTTTGGCAGAGTCACCCCTCAGAAAGCAAGATTCCATAGAGACTGATACTGTGTTTTCTGTATCTCTCCTATAAGTCGTTGAAGATGCAGGGTATCTTAGCCTCTCTTGAGTCCAGAATGAAAGTCTGCCTGCAAACCAATGTCCCTTAGAGATGGGAATTCTCCATTCTGCATGGAAGATTCTATAAAAGCTTGCCGCTGTTCTGTTTTTCTATGGTGGTGCATTTTGTCTGGCTTTTTGGCAGCAAAAGACCATCCAAAAATTATGGGGAAGGTAGGGGTAAAGTGCAGGACATGGAAGTCCCATTGCTTTCCTTCTTAAATATCTGTTGCTGACTGGACCAGCAGAAAAGTTTAAATGAGTGGCAAAAATCCTAGGCTGGATTTCTCCAGGACTCAGGCAAGTGTGGGAGACTATGGACTTGTTAAAGCCAAATTATTGGTCCCAGAGACACAATAAAGCCAATGAAGAAGGATGCCCAACATGAAACCTTTAGCCAGACAGCGTGTGAGCATGTGTGCATGTGTATCGATTAGGCAGAAGAAAAACACACTCTTCTTTGCAAATATTGCAGTTGCATACCCTCTAACTGCCTTGATTTGGCAAGGACAGTCCTGATTAACCATCTGTCAGCACATTTTTCCAATGGCTTTTAAAATGTCCCAGTTTCTCTCCTCTCCCACTCCCCCCCCCCCCCCCCCCCCCCCCAAGTTATATCAATTGCCTCAACATTCATTTATAATGCTAAAGCAGTTTGCTCTGATTAAGTAGAAGGTAGAGGAGCCCCCGATGGCTCAGTGAGTTAAACCACTGAGCTGCTGAACTTGCTGACCAAAAGATTGGCAGTTAGAATCTGGGGAGTGCGGTGACCTCCTGCTGTTAGCCCCAGCTTCTGCCAACCTAGCAGTTTGAAAACATGCAAATGTGATTAGTTCAATAGGTACCACTCCGGTGGGAAGGTAACGGTGCTCCATAAAGTCATGCTGGCCACATGACCTTCGAAGTGTCTACGGATAACATTGACTCCTTGGCTTAGAAATGGAGATGAGCACCAACCCCCAGAGTCAGACACGACTAAACTTAATGTCAGGGGAAATCTTTACCTTTATTATAATAGTCATGCCGGCCACATGACCTTGGGGGTGTCTACAGACAATTCCAGCTCTTTGGCTTAGAAATGGAGATGAGCATCACCCCTCAGAGTTGGACACATAATGATACCTCTTCCTTATATCATTAAGGATACCACAACTGAACAGGCACCTGTTTGAGCTGCCTATTGCACAAGAGTGTGGTAGAGGATATTAATGTAATACTAATATCCACTACCACACTCTTCTACAATACATTATAATCAACACCTTCCAAGCTACATACAGGGACACAGGCAAGTTCACCTGTTATCTCATAGATGTTAGAGAGGAAGCAAATTCTCTATGTGAATGAATTACCTAGATATATGTGTGTTTGCTCATGTTCATTCACATGTAAAACAAATTTCAACTGTAGAGTGGGGAGGGACACCAAAGGTGATCTTCACCCGCCCTCAATGTAGGAAATCTACTAGTGAAATAATCCTGATAGATGGTGATGCAATCTTTGATTAAAAATGTGCAGCACCGGCAAGACCACTAGCTGTGTTGGTGCCTTTGTTTTCATTCAGAAGCATGAGAAGAGGTGTGTATCTGCATGAGTGTACACATGATTGCACTATCCTGCTGATATTGCATTAAGATTTGGCTTGACTCAGGTTTCTGGCACTACAATTTCCAGACAGCAAGGCCGCGTATGATGCTGCATGGGAGAAACTGTAGTCTAAGATATAATATGCCCAAGATTAGCAAAAACTAGTATGTGTGGGTGGGTGTGGGAGAGAAATGTTTGCACATACATGCATTCACCTATTTCAGGAGTAACACAAGGACAGTTGTCAAGTTTCTACTACAGATAAATGACACAGAAAAGCTCTATGTATGTGAGATGCCTGATATCCACAGGATCATGTGTATTCCATAGGCCAAGGGTATATGTTTCAATTTGGCTACAACTGTGCAACCAGATAGATCATCTCAGGATTTTCCAGCACATGCCTGTGAGTGTTTAGTAAGTGTGGGAAGTGCATGTGATTGTGTGTATGGGATCAGCATGTGTGTGAAAAAAAAGTCATGCATCTCAGTGCCAGAACATCTCTTTCCAGCCCAGACCACAGCCTCTTGAAATTCCTGTTGCCTTCTGTCAGGCCCTGGCTCTGATCGCAGGGAAAGGCGCTTGCTGCAGCCAGCTCTATAGGGTGATTTACTATGCGGCCACTGCAAGGTTGCAGTTTGAGTCAGTCCTGGGATGATGTGTCCTTCCAGATGGAACTGATGCTCAGAGGTCCTTCCAATACATCTGAGTGAAAACATGCCCCTTGCACAAGGAGGTTTTTGGCTTAAAATGTGTGTGTGGGAAAGGGGAGCGGGAACACTATCCATTCAAGTGACATTCATTCCACAAGGGGGGGGGAAGACCCCCGACAATAGGACTGTGTGTGCATCGATTTAGCCCTCAGGGGCAACAACTATGTTTGCATGTAACCTTACTCTAATGCTGGGAAATGAGATTTTGGGCAAGACTGCTGGAAGACATCATTCCTCCACCCAGTACTCACTACATATTTTGGACTACAACACTTATCAGCTCCAGCCAATATAGCAATTGTCAGTGACGCTAGCAGTTGTGGTTTTCATACTGTGACTGTAGAGCCACTTCCTGAAAGTTTGTTTGCACTTAAATTATTATTGCCACTGAAATGGCTCAGTGAGCAAGGAAAGTCACATCATCTGTTATCAAAGACACCTCTTTACTCATGTTCTGAGGTCCCTCTGTGATGTTAAAATGCAATATTTGCAAATTAAACTTGACTTAAATTTACCTCCCCTTCCACTTCTTTGATGTGCTATGAGAATCATTAGCTTTGCCCATTTAAAAAAGTGCATTTTATAAATAGCTAATCCACATAAACAATCTATATGAATTAATGTGCAGATACAATTAACCAAACAACTTTTATGAGGATCAAACTATAAAGAGGAAGAAGAAGTGAAGTAATGCGGAAAGGGAACAGCGTGGTATTTGCACCAACTGATCTCGTAAAAGCCTTTAGGTATGCATGCGTGTAAATGCATGCACATACCAATGGCTGCTTTTACAACGATAGGAAAGTAAATGCATTCTAGGTTCCAGTCTGAACTTTAAAGGATCTTTTCATGATACTGAATCACCAATAGGTTCAGCACCTTGGCTAGCACCATTAATGTTTGGACTAACATTCACTGCCCCACTGACATAGAAACCACCAGCCACAGCTAGTGTACAAGGGTTATCCAGAAAGTAAAGTTACAAGATTTTTTTTAAATACAAAAAATGAATCAATTTTAATAAAACTTACATGGATTGTAGCATAGGTATTACATTATTTTTCCACATAATCACCATTCAGTTCAATATATTTTGTCATCCATGGGACGGGTTTTTGATGCCTGTATCACAGAAGTTTCCCTCTGTCTTTTTCAGCCAGTTCGTCACTTTGATTTTCACCTTGTCATTGTTGGAAAAGTGTTTTCCACCAAGGTGTTCCTTCTATTTTGTGAACAGATTATAGTCACTGGGTGTAAGATCGGGGCTGTGAGAGGGGTTATAACATCCCAACTAAATGAAATCAACAACTATTGTGTTGCATGAGCATTGTGCAGACACGCATTGTCATGAAGAAGATGCCATCAGCATCCCACGTTTGTTTTGGATGGCTCTGCAAAGTTTCTTCATGGTCTCACAATATATTCTGTACCCATTTTTTCACATGCTGTCTTGACATTACGTCCTCTCCATAAACTGAAACGATTTCATGATGAATTGCAGTGGCGTTCATGCCCTTGGCATTTAGGTAGCGTATTACAATGCGAACTTCGCACTTGGAGGGAAACAGAATGAGGACGCTCAACTCTAACCTTCACCACAACACCAGTCAATGAGCTTCTGATGACTGGCACTGCTCATTTGCTTCCATTGGCTTCCCACTCCACAGCAGTGATACCAACTTCCCCTGTGAAAATTCCCTGAGAGAGCTATGTGCCTTGTAATCTTACTTTTCAGATAACCTTCATAAATACATGGGAGAGGAAGGAAATGGGGAAAGATCATAGGGTGCACTTTGGACTGTACCACATCATGCAGTTTTCTGTAGGAAATCACACACACTTGTACATTTGAAGGTATTGTGAATTCCAAGTGAAGCATGTCCATACTTACTGTCCAGCATGCTCCCTACTGAAAATGTGTCAGAATGAGGCAAGTATTTTATGCTGAAAGTGGTATAAAAATGTGACAAAACTGATTTGTATGGAAAACCATTTTGTCTTGCAGGAAGGGGGGGTTCATGCTTCATTGCTTTTCCTCTTTCTCATTTGAGAAAACTAGATGTTGATGAAATTTGTAAATGATACAATGGGATATTCATTGTCCTCCCCATGCACTGTGACCTGAAAGACCATGGAGCCTGAGTTCCTTCGAGATGGCCTTTATGTGATGCAAAGGCAGTGGTCCTCAGCCATTTGCCAGTGTCCTCATTCTGGTCCCAACCCAAAAGGGACCCTCCAAGCTCTGAGTCAGGCTGGACCAGATCTCCTTGGTGAACTCAACTTGGTCTCCACCCGCAGCCATGACTTCATTTCATGAGTGTCTCTGTGCATTTCAGCAGGGAGTGGTTTTGTTTGGAGAAATCAGCCAACTGTGCATGTGAAGGCAGCGGGTGAGTGGAGTATCAGAGAGGTGTATCAGTGTGTGTGACACTACTCCAACAACCATCTCAGTGTAGGGCTGGGGAAGGAGGAGGACAGTGTGCCAATTTCCATCCATCTCTGCTTGTGGCACAGCAGTTTTGTACCTTTAACATGCAGGCTTCCAGATATTACTGGATTGTCAGTCTCAGCATCCTCCATCAGAGTGGTGGGATTTTCAGTGCTACAACATATGGGAGATGCATAATTCCCATCCCCAAACATACATTGACAGCATAAGTAGATTTGGTGGTGGCCACTGGCCATGAATGAAAACATGTGATGCACTTGCTGCAGTACAGCTTGGGCTTTCTTGAACACTGGGAAGTTAAAAGAAGCCTCTTCTGTACAGGAAGTACATGAAACTTACACTGTCCTCGAGGAGACTTACTTCTAGACTTGCATTTTAAAATCACTTTTGGAGACAACTTGGCAACTTAGGCTGGACATGACTTCCACAAAGAATACTGGGAACTGAAGTTTGGGAAATGTTTAAAATATTGACAATGTTCCCTGTTATTATCCTGTTTCTTTCTCACAGTCCACTTTTCTTAAGGTTCCTGCGAAGAGGGAATTAATTTAAACTGATTTAAATTTATCACCAGATTCTGAGAGATGTGAAAAAGTAATTCTGGGAGAGTTATTGTTTCCCCTGGTTTGCACACACATTCATTTTGTCATAGCATCAGCATTTACTGAATATTTTTTGCAGGTTTTTGTATTAAAAATTTGCAAAAATCATTTAGCACAAATGAAAATAGTATGTTGCCCACCAAGTGAGCGATGACTTCTCTTTGAAAATTACTTTCATTTTTCTGAAAATCACCCAAGTTAAAGACTATTTGCAGGACACAAAACTATTTGTCCCTACCTA